GAGCGCATGGCGACCGTAAAAAACCTACCTTTACATAACTGCAGTACAGTCTAAGGCCAAACCCGCCGAAAGCTTATTCTAGTTTAATCGGCCCCTACATGCCCTAAAGCGTGTCATGATTCATGATGGTAGGCAGCAATCCTGGCAGAGTTCCAGAAAACCTGCAGGGGCCTTTGTCTCGCGTTCAGTGTGTATGGGCCAGGCCCATCACTTTACGTTTAGTCTTTGATGCCTCCGAATGAAATTGAAGTATTATGACCATAATGTCTACATGAGCTATACGGGGTGAACTCTTTAAAGGGGGTTTATATGGGGGAGTATGTCGGGACCATCATAGGGGTTATTAGAGGGGCAACTGGGAGTTTAGACCAAAGGTGCTATAGTCCTGAAAAGGCCATAAACATGTCTATAGGCCCTAAATCTATCCCAATATACAATCAAAGCTTCGCATTTGGCTTCAGACTTTAAGATTTGCAGATTTTTTTGGGATTGAGGGTCCCTAAGCCCTAAACCCTAAGCCCTGAGGGTCTGGGATGTCCTCAAAATCCCCGTCCTGCCAAAAACCTAAGCCCTACACCCCAAACCCTTGAACCCTAAACCAAAGACCTAAACCCGTAATCCATCTGGCAGCGCTTCGAAATTATTTTCCTGAAAAGCGAATGAGACCTTTCGAAGACCCTTTGAATGCAACAGCTGTCTTGCGAGACATTCTGTTGGGATTTCATGTTTGTCTGGGTGGATTGTACCTTATTCCAGACAAAGACGTAAGCGGGATCGCATGCGCCAGGATCTCCTGTGGTTCTTGTGTGTGAGCGGAGTTCGTTAAGGACCCGAAAATTGCATCAAAAGCATTTTGATGATTCCCATCGATTCTCCTGCTGTCCCAGCCAACCAACTCCTCTATCCATTCCCTCATTCACACCCTAAACCCTAAAACCTAAATCCTCAACCCTAAACCCTAAATCCTCAACCCTAAACCCTAAATCCTAAACCCTGATCCCTACCATTATTTCTAAACACATCGGAGACTCTTGACTGAGGCCTTGTCAAGACTGTTGGCAGCAGCAATGCACAGCTGATTCAGTCAGCCACGGTCTTAGTCGAACTCTCTCTTTCCCTGATAAATGGGTGGTTGTCAAAATTATTGTCCCTTTTTGGGTACCCGAAATATTAGGTGCCGTATTATAATAGGGATCCAAAAAGGGACCATAATTTTGACAACCACCCAAATACCTCATTTTGGAATCAAGTAAGGATTAGGGCATGATAAGGGTTTAGGGTTGAGGGTTTAAGGTTTGGGGGATCCCCCGTCACGCACTGAAAATACATTTTCCCGATGTAGTACCATGAGGTACACAATGGGGGAATGTTAATTGGGGAGAGGACTAACTCCGACCTTCTAAGCATGAGACTTGCTTGAAAAACGTGATTTTCTTGTGGACACGGGAGAGATGCAGCTGCGTTGTGTGTGGTGGCTTTAGGCGGGGCCTTACTGTTGAAAACAACCCGTGTGTCTGGTCTGTGCACTGTTTCGGACATCTGGCGTCTGTTCAGATGGTGCAGATGCGTTGCCGGCTCGGTGCTTTTAATTCTTTTGTCCTAAGTTCAAAGACATCGTTTTGTGCTTAAGTATCATGACCGCGGTCCTAAACCCTAAACACCGAGTCTTGAAGCCTGAAGCGCTCATCTGCTAAAAAAACAACCTGAAGCCCAAACCCCCAAACCAGAACATTTCACGTGTACATACTTCTGCTTCCATTTGCGAAGTCCATGTACCTTCTTTGCATCTTAGTATGCTGCATTTTATTAGTTTGGCTTACACAAAGAGCCCCTACGGTAATTTTGGAACAGCTCCATGTGTGACGCAGGTAGCAATTGCTCTACGCAGCAGCAAGCAAGCCACAATGGACGCAGTACTCCTTGCTCGCTTCATGCATACAGCTGCGCCTCTTTTTGAGGGTCTCGAAATCAGTTGAGCTTGCAACATATTGCAGGGCAGCAGTGCCCTCAGTTTAAGAAGTAACCACATTAATTAGTTCTGATTGGGAGGAACGGCATCCTCGTCAAGGAAGCTGCATTGGGGTTTAGGATTGTAGGAGTTAGGCCGATGTGATAGGCAGTGCCAGGCAGAGGTTGCTAACATCGAGATGGCGCTGCGCAGCCTTGACGTGCCGCTGGAGGACAAGCAACCCAACCAACCCAACTAACCCAACCAGCTCCACCAAACCAACCAACGCCACGAACCCAAGCTACCCAAGCCATCCAAACGTTCCTTCAGAGACACCCTATCAAAGGTAGCCCTACAATCTTGAAATCGTGCAAGACCCCTGTTTTCAGGAGCCTCCTCTGTATCGCTGTACTACAGCATTCAAGGTTACTGCTTTCCTCAGTATTAGTATTGTTGTGCATCTCATGATTCTGACTATCGTCATTCTGGCGATGTTATATACAAGACGGTTTCGCGAAGAAGTTGCCCGTGACGGCGGCGACGACAACTACGATGGTAATGATGATGATGATGGTGATGACAATCAGAGTATCTGGTTTTTGACGACGAGCAGGTTGATGACAATGGTGGGGATGCTTGTGGTGATGGCGACCCTCAACCTTCACCCTTAAACCTCCCAGTGAAGAGTGATGATTTTGCCATCATGCTGCTGCAGCAGCTAGTGCAGCATCTCTTGAGCTTCTTTTTTATCTTCAGCTACGACTCCTTAACGCGGGATCTTTTAGGCACTGGGAAGAGCTTCTTGGGGTGGTGATACAGGGATGTGTTCGTGTTTATGTAGGACGAAAACTCAACCCTAGACTATCATCCCGGACATTCCCATGCGTTACCAAGCAGGGGAGTACCTCAGAGATTGTTCTTCCGAGCATTTTTGAAAGCACAGAGCCTTAAACCTTAAACCCTAGCACCTAGTGCCCAGACCTTGCATACCAACCCCTACTACCTACACACTAAAGCCTCAACCATAGACTTCAAACCTCAAGCCCTAAACTCTACAGCTCAAACTCTAAACTTTGAACCCCAGTGCAAAAGAGCACCCTAAACCCTAAGTCCTAAACCGTATAGTCCCCCTTAAGTAGATAGAATACGGGGTATATGGGGATCTTATTATAATCTACCCAAAGCCATATTCTATGTACTTAAGGGGGACTATAAACCCAGAAGCCTTTTGGCCTGGATCAGGAGCGGCCTGTGTGGGGCGGCCAAAAGACTCGCGGTCTCTTCCTGGTTTTCGAAGGCAGGGCTGTGCTTGGATCTTGGGGTTGAGGGTTTAGGGTTGGGGGTTGAGGATTTAGGATTGGGGGTTCAGAATTAAGAGTTAGGGGTTTAGGATTTTGGGTTTGGGGATTAGGATTAAGGGTTGGAGGTTTATGGGTATAGGGTAGGGGCATAGGGTTGGGTTTAGGCTTGAAGGTTTAAGGGCTTGGATGTACCGTTCCCAACTTGCATGGAACCTTAAACCCTAAAGGGGATGAACTCCAGGCCCTGAACCTCAACTAAAACTTTAGAAAACCTTAGACCCTAAACTCCAAACCCGAACCCTAAACCCCGGACCCTCAGCCCTAAACCCTAAACCCTAAACCCTAGACACAACCCTAAACCCCTAAACCCTAAGCCCAAAGACGCACGGTTTGACTTGCCCCAGGCCTGGATCGGAGTGGCAAGTCCACGCAGAGTAAGAAGATCGCCTCGCACCTGGAAAAGGCATGTGCTTAGGGTTGAGGGTTTAGGGT